TTAAAAGCCTAGAGAAAGACCTTTGCCACAGGGTGGCAGCAGCATCCCAGGGACAGCGTGTTTGGCCTGGAGCTGGGGACAGCTCATTAGCACACCGTCCCCTGGGTTCCCACAGAGCGGGGCCTGACCGCCTCTCCACTTCCCCTTGGCAGGGAGGCGGCCGGGCAGAGGGGGTCGTTGGCACACAGAGGGGCAGTTTTGTTCTCTGGGAGACTTGGAGGAAGCTGGGTGGTCTCCTCAGAGTGTCGAATTGTGCCCTTCACAAAACCTCCATGCAGTGTGAAGCTGCTGGGAGAGCTGGCCTGACAAAGGCCTCTAAGGAGACTGGCAGGGACTGCTGGTCCGCCCCGGGCGCAGAGGCCCAGGCCCCTCTGGGAAGAGGCCTGGCAGTTTCTCATGATGCCGGTTTCCAGGGGTGACAGGCTTCTGCAAAGCCTCCCTCCCAGAAGACGTGGGTCTGTGTTCTCCTCGGGGAGTTCCGTCCTGCTCACAGCAGGCCCAGAAGGAGCAGGAACCTCTCTCCCCTCCTCCAATGTCACCTCCACGCCCCTTCCTCCTGCACTGAGCCCATTGTGCTCTAAACATCTTAAGAAATCTTCCTAAGTGATAGAAACTTTGCTGAGAATTTTATATTATCATTTATTTAATTCTCACTACACTCTCATGAGAAGGTATGATTATACTCATTTATGAAGAGGAAGTTGGAGCTGAATCTATCACGTGCCACGCTTATTTGACCACAGAATCCTACTTTAACACCTCCTCCAATATATGGGAATCTGATATGAAAACTGGTTTGGGGACTGTGGGTCTTATCCAGCCCCACACGCACAGATGAGGAGGCCCAGGGAGTCTGAATGACTGGGTCACGGTACCACTGTTGGTTAAAAGCAAGTCAGAGATTAGAACTCACATCTCCTCATCCAGCTCTGCTTTCCACTCTACCTGCCAAGGGGAGAAGCCGCGTTAAAACTACCATTAACACGCTATTGAAAGATCATGTTAATCAAGATGGTCCAAGGACCCTGATGAAACTGCTCAAGAAGTCAGCTGTGACAGGCACAGATTCAGCCCAGCACTGTGTACAAGTTTGGATTCATCCAGCACTCAGAAGCGGAAGGCCTTTAGGTTTGAGGCAGCAGGAAGCTATTTTTAGTTTAGCTATGTAAGTTTTCTAACAAACGTGCAGAGTTTCCCGAGGTTTCTACTTTTTTGGCTAACAACTCATCAGCAGTTTAAATGAAATGATAACTCACAGAGGCACTGTAGGGCCAAGACAGTGGCATTTGGTGACAGTTTTCAGAATTGTATTGGTGACAGTTTTCAGAATTGTATTGCTGACAGAATCTTTGAGTGCTAAGTTCTCCCCAGGGCAGACCCCTCATCAGTTCCTTTTGGGGTTGACCTGATAGTCTTTATTTTCTCCTGCTGTGTCTGCAAGCTCCTCGTTGGCTGCCTTCAGGACGTTGTGTGATCCCCTGAACCTAAAGAGTTGGAAAAGAAATCCAAAAGTTGTCATCTGACATTATCTTCTTTGAGACTCACTGATCTCTTTAACATGGCTGCACGTATATGATTATTTAAAAAGAGTTTATGATTTTAAGGGGCGTATTTTATTCTCCTTCTGCAGTACCAGTTGGGTCCTGCTTTTCATAACCTTGGCTTAAAGAAGGGACTCGTGGGAATAATGCCCATCCGTGGAGGCTGGAGTTTCCTAAAGAGACTTTGAAAAATGCCTCATTCCCAACTTTACAGTGACTGGAAAACAATGGTCTTTGAACAGCACACTGTGAAAAAAAAATATGGGTGATTTTCTAAAAGGAGCACCCCAAATGAAAAAAACGTTTTTCATCATGGAAAAAAAATTTGTGAATGCCAATTTTTCAGCTCTGTAATAGATTACAGCAAATATTTTATGTTTGAAGGAGGCGGGGGCAGGAGAAAAAAAAAAAATATGGGTGATTTTCTAAAAGGAGCACCCCAAATGAAAAAAACGTGTTCATCATTGGAAAACAATATGTGAATGCCAAATTTTTCAGCTCTGTAATAGATTACAGCAAATATTTTATGTTTGAAGGAGGCGGGGGCAGGAGAAAGGAGAGAAGGAGAGGAGAAAAAAGAAAAGAGAAGAAAAGAAAACAGATGTGAGACTTAAAATATTTCAAGCATGGATAACTGAAACAGTGTTCAATTTATTTAAGACTGTTCTGTGAAGTCTTAAAGGTGATTGATCAGGCTTTCTAAGTGTAGCCACAGATTTATAAGCACATAATGAGTGATAAATTCTCCAGAACAAATAAGTAATAGGAAATGTCCCAGATCTGGATGGCCTTTTAAAGCTTGTTTTTAGCCTGCAGAAAGAAATTAAAAATTAGAATGATTATTTTTAATGACCCCACAAACTCACCTATAATGTCCACTTAATTGAGGCAAACATAAATCGTCTTGAATCTTCATTTCACTTTACGTAGGGTTGCCAGATAAACAAATAAAAATGCAAGTTGCTCCATGTAATATTTTGGGACATGGTCACACGAAAACATTATTTTTTTTATTTAATGCTTATACTAAAGCATTTGTTACTTATCTGAAATTCAGATTTTACAGAGTGCCTTCTATTTGTAAATCAGTAAAATGTGACTGTCCAAAGTAAAGGTTGAGACAGTAGTTTTGTGGGCACGATGAGGGAAGGTCAGCTGAAAATGTTAGCATGCTGCTTTCTTAGTACCTGCCTGTGTCTGGGAAACATTAGCGATGAAATGGGGAGTGATTTATCCGGGACGGATTGGCAAAAAAATTGGTGAGAGGGGAGGGAGGCAGAGCACAAGGGAGACAAAACGAGTACCCAGAAAGGAAAGGGCTCCTGGCAGAGACTATTGGAGAAGCAGAGTGAGCAGAAGGAAAAGAAAAATGAGGACAGTGAAGAATTTTAAACCCCTTGATGGCTTTCGCGTATTGATCCTCCCTTTGCAGTGTAGACCTTAGAACTCCATATGCTTTTAAAGCGAATCCCTCTTCACGAAGAGCTCCGAGCTCCCCCTGGTCGCTTTTGTAGGTATACCCCGCCTCTCACCGCTCCCCCATTCCCCCCACACTCCCTCCTGAGGCCCCAGACCTGGCCTCGGCCTCGTTTATCCCAGAGAGTTCTCTTCTTCTACTTTCCCTGTTAGAACGTTGCTCATCAGTTTCCTTCGCTCTTTCTTCCTTGCTCTCTTTCTGATGGCTTTTTTATTCCGAGCCTGCCTTCGGGGTGACGCCTCCCAAGTGGTCTGGACCCCGGAACAGGCCGCACAGAGCTGGTCATTGTTGCCCCAGTTCTGGGACCACCCGGGTGGGAGAACGGGCAGCGCACTGCCCCGGAGGCCAGATGACTGACAGCAGCCTTGGGTCAAGTGCCCAGCGGGCCGCCTGGAACAGGGCCTGTGCGCCGGTCGCCCACAGCATCCTCCTCAGTTTGCTCCCATTCAGCGGGAAGGGAGCCCTTCTTTCTCCGAGCTCCCTCCACGCAATTAACAGCACCAAAATGTTTTCAACGTGGGGTAGATGAATAAAGGCTTAGAAAAAAAATATTTTCCCAGAAAGTGAGACTTTCCGGCCGAGGAAAGGGGATCCTGCCTGGGGATAGTGGTGCTGAAGGGGTAAACACAGGCAGGGGAGCACATAGACTCCCAATTTCTCAAATTTGTTAGAAATGTATTTACTTATCAGCAACATTTAAAAAAAATGTTGAAGAAGTTACATAGTTCCATTTGTGAACGGATTTGTGTCTGCCTCTTGTGCAGATCTTTGCTTGCTTCCCTCCCCATCATCTAAGCCACACACTGGCCGACCTGCCAACTCCCTTAACCTAATAATGTCTCCAAAGCTCTTCCACAGGCTGATGACCCGCTCCTCAAGCACCGTGGAAGGGGCAAAACCTAGTTTAGGCTGTGGAAAGGAAGGAGACGGGTACACAGGAAGAAGCACTTCTTAGCCTTGGATTTATCCTTCGTGGCACTACTTCTCCGACTGCCTCTGTCCAGAAAGTCCCACAGGTGTGCAGGTGGCTCCTTCCGCCCAGGGTGGCCTGAGCTGGTTTGGTTCTCTCCAACTGTAAGTGGCTTCCTTCCCTTTCTCCAATCAGCAATTCAAATATCACAGATGCCTTGGAAAAAGTTAGAATGGATTGATCCAACAGCGATTTGGAATTTTTTTGGGCCGAAAGATTCTTTAGAGATATAGATGGAAATGAAAGGCTTTTAACCCGGAAAAAGGCAAAAGCACAAAACTTTTCCCATAATTTCAAGAGCCACGTGAACCCACTGACGCCTTCACATGGATGATCTGGGGTTTGTGGACCCCGCTTAAGAGCCTTTCCCATAAGTGGCTGTCACCTGCAGGTAGAGGATCAGATTAAAGAGTCTCCAGACACAACTCCAATCTGGTGTTCCATGGTATTGGAATTTAATAATTATTTATTAAAAAGCATGATGAAAAGAAGTAGTCATCCACAAGTTGTTCTTCGTGACTAGAATAGTTTGCCAGCACCGTGGCTGTTTCTGGAACAACCTTTGAGATCTTATCTAGCTCTCTTCACAAATGGCAGTAGTAGTCACACAGATAAATCTACCTAGTTGGAAGGTCAGACAAGAAATCACTTTTTGGAAGAACCAATGGTGGCTTATACTTTTCTAATGCCAACATGGAAATGATTCAATTTATCTGAGAAATTTGAATCTGATGTGGACAAGTAAGTGCATGTTGTTAGAGCAAAGTGCTTCCCTCATTTCCGCTCTCCGGTCCAGTTCTAGGAGTTGGGCAAGGGAGCATTTGTCCTTATTTATTTTCCTGTGGCTGACCCGCCCCTCCCCCTCCACTGGTCTTTGCAAGATTATGCTTAGTAAAATCTAAAAAATTCTGCATGGTATCCTTCCCCAGCATTGTCCTGAGCGCATTGTAATACTTCCATGAATGGAAAATGTATTTTCCTTCAGGGAGAACAACAACAACATGCAAAGATGTAATGTAAAACTAAGTTTTCTTTATTGAAAATACATCTACAAAGTAATACTTCTCAGTCCATACTGGGTACATGTATATGTAGAGCCTGTGATGGGCTGGCGAGAGGACCATCCTAGAGGACCTGCTTTCCATAAGAAATGGTTAGTATGAAAAAAGATCACACTCGTGTAACAGAATTAATTTGACATGATTAATTTTTGCTCTACTGGAGTCATAAGATAACATCCATGTACATTAACTTTGTAGTGTATTTCCGAAATAGAGCCTTGACATTAAATGATTACTCCACCACAGCCTAACGTTAACTTTTGTACACATATAATGCTTGGGATCTATATAAAAATACCTCTAATTGTATATCAGAGGATGTATGTCTAGATTTTCAGTCTGTTAGCATAATTAAGTTCATTCTTCACCATTTACAGTAAGAAACTCAAACACAGCTGGTATTGTCCGACAGCTCCCTCTCTGTGTCTTTGACTGGATGTTCCTTAGAGGGTAAAAAAGTTAATCTCCTCTAAACCTGGGAGATTCTCTTTCTGAACCTAATGCCTCTGCTGTTTTTTTTTTGTTTTTGTTTTTGGAACCACATTGGCAGTATCTTCATACTGATTCTACCCATTTCTCTCAAGGGCACAAACAAAACCAAGCCAAACCTCACTCCAGCTGAAGGTTTCGAATGATTTGGTAAGTGGAATTCCCACACAAAGAAATATCTTGTTTCCCTCATTCTAAGAATTTTTGATTATAGTCAAAAACCTTTTCAAGTAAGAGACCACCCACACAGCTCACAGACTTCTAGAAAGAGATCTCATTTGTTTGTCTTGTTTAAAATACGTAAGAAGTAACCTTATACTTTGATATGCAGACTTCCTTGGGGAATGATTTTGAACTGAAGAGAAACAGTGTTTCTGGTTTAAAAAAAAAAAGAACTTCTTTTTTTTAAAAAAAGTTCTTTCTTAAAGATGACCTATAATCTTGGTGTTTTAAAATCTTCTCTTTATAATGTCAACCATGCTCCATTCTTCCCTAGCTGGCTCTTTAGTGTTCCACAGTAAGGCCATGTGCACCCTTGCTAGTTGCTAGTCTTATATTTTAATTTCTAAAAGTCTACTGTCACTTGAGGAGTGGTGGGAGACATCCTTCCCAGAGCAGCCCCTTCAGTTTGGGAAGAGTAGAAAAGAAGGGAATACTCTCACCGTTGGGAAGAACTGAGCAAAGTGATCATGAATAATTCCACTCCTGGAATGGCCTCGGGCCTGGTGACTTGCATAACTGACATTTTGGACACAGGACCTGGTAAACCACACTGCCATCTCCGTCCTACATAGAAACGTTCATTCCCAATAAATGTGCTTTCTGAAAGTCCCATGCTCCATGGGATGAGACTTGCTACAGGATGTTCTGCAGGGAAATGGAGGGCAGGCTCTTTCATGATGCCACAGGATATCTGGGCTAGAACAGACCACAAAGGCATGTAGGGAACTCACTCATTTTACGGATAAGAACACTGACGCCTAGACATAAGATGTGACTTGTCCACGGCCACATGGGAATTCCACTTTATGCACCTCCTCACAGCTGAGCTAGGTGTGTGTTCACTTTGCCCTGCTACTAATAAAATAAGGATACAAATCAGAGAGAAAGGGGAAAAAACCCTTCTACTGTCCAAGTGATAACCGATTATAGTGTATCAAGTTGTTTTGATACTTAAACTGAGTTGTGTTCTGAAGGATTTTTAAATTTTGAAAGTTGATTTAAAACCATATTTTAGCCTACTATTTGTCTGACTCTTTAACTTATAAAAATCACATTTACAGGATTGTGTGCCACATACACTTGTAAGATCTGACCAAGACTTGATCTCAGTACCTTCTCATCGAAGACTAAGATGAAATGATTTAAAACTTTCAAATGTGGGATGAAAACTATATATTTTGGCCACTGCAAAATCCTCCCTTGTTTTTGGATGAGTACTTCCCAATCCTATCAGAGTAGGGAAGGAGAGGGAGGTGAGGGGTTCACTGGAGAGAATGGTTGTAGTTGTAACGAGATGGAAACATTTTGTGACCGTCTTCAAAACACCTGATGCTCAAGAAGGCATTTCTTTCTGCTGGTCTACATCTTGGTTTCACTGTCGGTGGGTTTCTCCGTTTCGCTTTCCTGGGGAATCAGCTGATAGGGTTTCTTCATTTCATTCTCTTCGATCACTGAGTTACCCATTTCGACATCTTGGTTTTTCAGTTCATGTCGTGACAGGTGCTCAACAATGCCGGCCCCCAGGGAGTCTCCTAGCACGTTGGTGGTGGTGCGGAGGCGGTCCCTGAGGAAGGGCAGGAAGAAGGAAAGATGAGGCTCCTGTGGACATCGGTGTCTTTAGCTCATATTTTGAACCACCGGCTAAGTTTGGCAGCATCCCTTAAAATTGAGCTTGCTGTATCCCCCAGCTATCTCATTACATAATAGACACATCATATTTATAATAGTTATTAAAAGTTATAAGGACACGTAGGTGATTAACTTTCAGTTACTAGTTAGAGGATCAACAGTGGGGAATGACCCTTCCTTTTCTCCTTTTATATAAAGTTTCATTTTGATTCTCTTTCCCACAACTCACCTTCCTTTATACCAGCAGTTCTCAAAATATGGTCCAGAGACCCCTCAAAGTCCCTAAGGTCGAAGCTATTTTCAAAATAATGCTAAGATGTTATTTGCCCTTTTCACTCTCATTTTCCATCAATGTCTAGCGGAGTTTTGCAAAGACTACAACACAATACAAAAGATGCCACAGTGGATTGAATACAGAAGCAATTAGGAGACTCCAGCTGTCTTGTATTAAGCCAGAAATGAAGATGTGCAAAAATGTAAAATGGTATCATTCTTTTCCCTAAATTTTTGGTTTGGAAAGTTATTTTTTTTTTTTTTTTTAGGAAAGTGTTATTTATATTAAAATGTAATGAATTTATTATTGTAACCTTTAAATGAATTTAACACTTAAAAATTTTTAAGTTTTTATAATATGATAAATATTGATAGATATAACCCGTATAGACAAAAGCTTTTTGGGTCCTCGATAATTTTTAACTGTAAAAGGGTCCTGAGACTAAAAACGTTGAGCCCCACAGCTTTATATTATAAAAGACCTCATAATTTTTGAGTGCTGACTGTGGGCCAGACAGTGGGCTGAACGCTTCCCATGAATCATTGCACTTCATCCTCACAGCATCACCGGGAGGTAGATGACATTATTGTCCCTGTTTCGCAGAGGAGAAAACAAGGGTGGCCAAGTAACCTGCCCAGGGTCACGCAGGGCCTGATGCAAACACAGATCCAAGTGACAGCGGAACTCAGGATCTCAGCCGATCACCCTCTCCTGCCCTTGTCTTGCTGTGAGCATATTGCCGGGCTCAGATCTAGTGAAGTCAACATATGCTGACTCCAGGACCTACTGTGTCCTTCCAGGCATTCACTTTGGGAATCCTGGGGAGAAATTTTTTGTAAGTAAAAGAGAACTTATGAGAGAAAAGAGGCGGAGAATGTCAACTGCGAGGGTAAGAGGAAAAGGGCGAAGGGATGGGCCCCCCGGGGTGAGTGTCTGAGGGTGTGGAGGGTACTTTTCATGCAACTTTCCCCAGAGCTAAAACGCGATTCCACTTAATGACACGGCTGCCCCGCTCCCCGCTGGGCTCAGAGGGAACATCTGTGCTGCGTTATGCCATTGGAATGGGAAGCACAAGGAAGAAGGGCCTGAGCCAGTGCGCGAGGCCTGCAGTTCTGTTCCAGCCACCGTGCGGATGTTGTGCAATTCAGAAACGGCCTTGCTGATTTATGCTGGCTTTCTAAACAGTGGGTTTCCCAATCCCTGAATGGCTTTATGGAGTGAGAGGTGTAGCAGCCAGATGTGCCCCATGGGCTGATAAGGGAGTGAATGCACATGGCGTCTGGGGCTTGGTCTCCAGATAAGGGCAGGGATCAGGCAATGAAGACAATTTAATTTCTGGCCAAGCTGCCCCTCTTTGTGGAGCCCTTTTGGCAGGCACGCCAGGCTGCCTGGTGCCCTAGGATGACAGAGGGGCACCCTATGACGGTGAACCTGAACAAAGTCCAAGCATACTTACAAGAACCAGTCCACTGCAATGATGAGCGTGATGTCGTCAGTGGGTAGGCCCACAGATGTCAGCACAATCACCATGGTGACCAGGCCTGCCTGAGGAATCCCAGCTGCCCCGATACTGGCAGCCGTGGCTGTGATGCTGTTAAAAGAAGTTCCCAAACAGAAAACATTTGTACAAATCTCCCCAAATAGAAAGTATGCCTTGCATACACACGTAGCACAATGTCTGACTTGCCAAGTTAACAGAAGAGAATGTGCTTTAGAAAAATGTAAATGAGCTTATAAAAAAACTCATTGAACAAAAAATCATATAACTAATATTTATCAAGTGCTTATTATGTGCCATCTGATATGCTAAGTATGGCTTATCTCATTTGCTCCTCACGACAACCTTTAAGAAGTTGGTCGTATTATTATAGCCATTTCTAAATGAAGAAACTGGTGGCTATATACTTTTCATGTACCTAAAAGTATTTTATAAGGTCTAAAATACTGTATATAGTTCAATAACGATTTGTTTTTAATAATTCCTCTGTCCAAGTAGAAGGCTGTAAAGATATTGAACTTGTATGGTTTAATGAGGCCAGAAAAAAGTCAAATTTATCGACGAAAAAGAAAAATGATTAGGAACAAAGTTCTGTAGCACTATAAATATTTTTAATGGAGGCAGTGTGGTCCTGGTTTGTAAGGCGCATAACCTATTTGGGACTCAGTTTGTTAAATATCTATTTGATAGGCTAATGTGAGGTGAAAATGTTTTATAAGTAGTAAAGTATTACCTAGATATAAAGTGGTATTAATAAAATAACAAGTCTGTGGAAGAGACTGTTTATGGTTCTCCCATGTTGTTCACCTCCCATGGTATTAGAATTTTTAGCTGGTATACAGATGCCCAGAATGAAGACATTTCCTAGCCTCTCTTGGAACTCCTTTAGACAAAGTTCCGGCCAATGACCCATGGATAAAAAGTGATCAAGCAGCTTGAGGGCTGTGCGACTCCACCCCTTTTCATTGGCAAAAATTTGGAAGTGGTGATGAGCCGTCCTGAACCATCTGGATGAGGGTAACACCCCAGGGATGCTGGATCCTCAAGCCTTGGTCTCTTACACCATAGGATACCTACCAGCCTTGATGGCTTTGTGGAGCAGAGTTGCTCCTCGTGAGAGAAATGCAGTTCTATCTTGCTGAAATCACTGTTTTGTTATTTTGAATTCTGTCACATGCAGCTGAACCTTTTTTGAGACTCAAGGGTTTTCAACCAGTATGCTAATATATGCCCAAGAATAGGTTACAGTGAGCTAAGATATTGATCTCCCAGCCCCAGTGTACCTACAATGCACCCTACAATGTACCAATGCGCCCTACAACTATTATCATTTTCCAGTAACACATATATACAGTCTAACATAACTTACTTCTAAATATATGTATGTATATGTGTGTATATATACAAAAAATGTGTGGAAACTGATGGAGATTAAAAAAAGATTAAAGTGACATAAAAATCAAATTTGAGCCATAAATCTGAATATGATTTGGTCTAGGGTAAAAAGTTCTAAAAGACATTTTGGAGACAACTGGGGAAATTTGAATGGAGACTGGATATTCTGGAAGTATTTTAAAGATTCTTATTATTGTGGTTATGTAGAAAACTGTCCTTATTCTTAAGAGTTGCATGCGGAACTATGCACAAGTGAAATGCCAAGAAGGGGCGGCGGGGGGGGGGGGGGGAAAAGCGGCAAAAAATTAACAATTGTTGGATCTAGGTAGAAAACGTTTGCTGTAATATTCTTTCAACTTTCCTATATGTGAGACAAATACTTTATGATAGAAAGTTGTGAAAAAGCAAAAATATATGACTTATTTGATCTCCAAAATAAATTGCTAATAATAATTAACACGTAACACACACACACAGACACACGATGACGAGCAGAGTCTGATCTGGATTGTGAAGTTTAAGTCTCCATTATACTTATCGGTCTGTTGTGCATACTGACTTTTGGTAAGCAAAAAGAGAAGATTTTATTCGCATATGCACATGGGTATGTGTAGACTATTTCCAGAAGAATATTAAAGAAACTAGCAAGCAACAGTGGTTGCCTTTGAAGGAAACTAAGAAATCGGAGGTAGGTATGGGAGGAAAAATTACCTTTCACTAGACACTTCAAATATAATGGTTAAAAATAGAGTCCATAAAAATAAAATTCTCAATCTATGTCAGTGTGGTCTATCATCTATTTTATACTGCCTAAAAATTAACCCGTTTAATTTTTCAAGTTATGTTTTTATTTTCTAATACTGTCTGTATAAGACATATTTTAACGCCTTTTAAAACTGAAGTATAATCTAACCTTTTTTCTAAAAAGAAAAATTTCCATACCATGTATTCGGTAGATAGACGTATTTTTCTATTCCTATATATAACATATTTCTATGTATTTATTTAAAAAGAAAAAGCTAGATATATTTATAGGTGATATATTAATAAATAAATCAATCAGGTGGCAAGCAGTACATATGGTATAGTTCCATTAATTACAAAAAAAAAGAATGTGTATGTCTATGCACAAGAAAAGGTCTTTGTACACTAAATATTAACAGTGGTCACCTACAGAAAAATGGGGAATGACAGTTTCATTTTTTTACTTTACACATTTCTATATTATTAGAATCTCATCATTAATAAATGTGCACATCTGTAATTTAACAAAAAAAGAATAAAAATACTGAAATATCAAAAATGCCTAAATATCAAAACTACTCCTACAAACCTCAGCCTCCTATTTATGTGTGATCCCCTTCTCAACCAGTTTCCTCACTGAATCCCCAATCACCATCTTATCACTTAAAGTCATTCTTAAGAAAACATTATGTAGACCTTTCCCTGTACCTGATTGTAATAATCTGTCCAAAGTTCAGTTCAAAGTTGTTAACTTGAGCAATAAAAATGGCAGCCAAAGCCTCGTAGAGGGCGGTCCCATCCATGTTAATTGTGGCCCCTACAGGGAGCACGAATCTGGTGACACGTTTGTCCACGCCATTGTTCTCTTCCAGGCACTTGAAAGTGATGGGCAGGGTGGCAGAGCTGAGAACAGTAAAACAGGGCATGTCAGCTGACAGTCCTGATAGTTCAGACTGTACCTCATGTGTTTGGTATTTGGGACAGAGAGTTCCTTCCTCTCCCATGTCCTAGGTTAAAGGGAACTAAGTCAGCACTTATATAAATAGGGGAGCAGGGTTAGGAACAGTGTGGGTCTCTCCACTGAGTCATTGGGCAGCTCTCCTGCTTCTGGGTTCCTCTGTGGGGCATCATTTGCCATTATTTCCCCATCACAACAGCATGTGCCAAGTCACTCTGCCACCTCTCCCTCAGGCACATGTCAACTGGAAGAGGGAGATAATGGTGGGCAGGAAAGGCTAGTTGGTTTCCATTGCGTCTCCCAAAAGGGTTTAGAACCAGCCATTCCTTGAATCCCATATGAGTCTGATTAGCCTCAGAAGTGAAAAAGCCAATTCATTTGCCTGGAAGTTTAAGTCCCCTCTCTACCCTCAACCTGGGGGTTCTGGTCCAAAGTAAAGTTTGAGATACAATTTCTGATAGGAATCAGCCACTTATCTATACGTACCTGGAGGAAGTTCCTAGAGCTGTGACGAGTGCTTGTAGTAACCCTCCGATAAAAACCCAAGGGTTTTTCCGCGTCACCAAGAAGTAGAGGAGGGGCAGGACGATGACTGCGTGAATGAGCAAGCCGACGATAACCGTCACAGTGTACATGGCAAGCTGGCCCCCAATCACTCCCATGTCTTCCATCTCAACAATTTTCCCTGCAATCAGGAAGAGGATGCCCAGAGGGGCGTACCTAGGTAGAAGCAACACACACACATTTGGAAGTCTGATTTGCAACAGACTATTCCACAGAAATTACCAAGTGATAAGAAAAAAGTATGAGAGAGTTAACTTCCAAACTTTTATTTTTTTGCCCAGGATACTATTAGGACTTGTAGAAACTGTGAACTTCTTTATTTTCCTTTTTTTTTTTTTTTTAATTATAAATTTAAGTATAAATATTGCAGAATTAGGCTTTTCTCTCACTCAGAATTTCTCTAGGGTACTTTTTTTTTCCCTCCTAAACCTATGAAAAAAGACAGGTACAGAGGTTTTGTTAACCACATCTTTTTTCCTGGATGACTATCTCTTTTCACATCTGGGCCATGTGTCTGGTCCTCAGATGTGACCCGCTCCTCCTGTCTCCTGCTCCCCGGCTAAGTTCTCTAAACTGCCAGAATCCATCCATCCAATATCCAGACTTCTGAAACATTTTCCACAACAGAGACTGATTCCCAAGTTAAAGCAAGACGCATACAATGCCGTTTCAGTGTTTTAGATGTTGTTAGCTCTTTCATTCAAGGATCGCTTTTATTATTTTTTCCTAAGTTATACACTACTTATAATATTACTTAATATTAGTCTTCAAATCAACTCTTTCACTTAAGTAAATTTACTCTACGAGGAAATTTTATGTTACAGTGCAAATGGAAAACTATTACCATTTGCCATAAATAGAAGGTAGCCATAAATTAAATTCAAGCTATTAAAATTAATAAAAAATATGCATGTATGTACTACCACAATCAGGTTATAGATGTTCTAAGTAAGTAATTATCACCTTCAGGCTGCTATTGCCATTTGTGGTCTTTCTACTGTGGACTTGGCAAGAATGAACAACTGAGACACAAAATGACTTGCACATATTGAAACAACCCTGGTTGCTTCAAGGCCCCACCGCCCGGCATTCAGCTTCTTCTGTCTGCTCTGTGCAGTAAACCACAACCAAACTCACATTACTAAACACAGAGAGGCCAATCCCCTTAAAAAGAAAGGTCTGCTGGGAACTGTAGAGAGCTTATTTCAAACAGAAAAATACAATGTTTCTTTTAAAAGTCTTTTAATAACACAGGCCAGGAAATTATAAGAGTACCTGTTTTCAGAAATGTAATAACTCAGTGTTGAATGTGCAGGCAAAATGTACAGCTTAGAAAAGCTACATGTGAGGTTCATTCAGCAGCCTTGAATGGGCTTCTTTCATAAAAGAGGTGAAAGGTGGAGGCATTTTAATAATATGAAGATGAATGTCCACTTTCAGTCCTGCCAGGATTTCAAAGGAGGGCCCCAGGATTTCATTTGGGGGCCCCTGTGGAGACCACATTCTGATCCATCTTTGTGCCCAAGTTCATATCCATCTTGTACGAACTCCTGAAAAATGAATTTCTCTGGGCTTTTGTGGCGATAAAGACAAAGAATATTTTTAATCATGTTGGTGAGTATTTTTCTTAGAAATGGATGCCTTCCTGCCTCAGGTGCCAAGTAGGAGTCTGGATTAAAAATTAAAGATAAAGGGTAAGCAACACCCACATGATGCTAAACCAATCAAAGTGTTCTCTCTCTGCTGGGGAGAATTTACTTTCCAAGGTCAATGTTCCTCCTTGGATTTAGTCTTCCTTTGTCTCCTGCTCTCAACTTTATTTGAAGAAGTTTGGTTATAAATTGTGGCTTGGCATTCTATAATACTTCCCATGAGTCCTTCAGGCATGCAGTAGATCCGCCATTTAATTTCTTCCTTAGGGCTGAAACAGAGGAGGGGAGATCTGTTTTTCTGGTGCTCTAGGGGCTTCTACATTCGCTTTTCCTGCTACTGGAAATGCTCTTGTCCTGGTACTGTGTATGGCTGGCGCCTGGCCATTTGGATCTTAGCAAACATTGTTACCTCCTCAGAGTCCTTTCCAAGGCAAATTTTATGCCTTTTCCCCAGTCACTTTTTATCACATCATATAAAATTAAACCTGCTATTTTATTATTTTTTTCACAGCACCTGTGACTGAAGCATATGTGTGATTTGTTTGTTTATTTTGTCTTTCTGAAAAGAATGTTAAGATCCAAGATATTCTTGTATGTTTTCTTCATTGCTATATTCACGGTGCCTGGAATTATAGTATATATGCTTGGTATATAGTAGATAGTCCATAAATATACATTGAATGAATAACTAAATAGATATAAAATGGTGGTAAAGGAGTTGACATCTTTCAAGAACAAGGAAGCAAACTTATTGAGAGGCTTGCAGATAGAGTCAAGGCCTCTACAAGCCCAGAAAGTCATTGATTTTCTTGTGCTTAGCAGAATTGCAATTGGCCGTCCTGCCTGGTGGCATTTTCTTAAGTACAGACACATGTTGAAGGCAATAAACATCAGATATAGTATCCGAAATTACCATAATTCAGACTTTTAAAACCACACATATATATAGCAAACGGAAATACATACCACATTATCACTGCTACCAATCTCATGATGGCTTCATTAAGAGAATCAAAGAACTCTCTCAGGGCTTGTCCCTGCTCCTTCATGTTTCCGATCACAAAACCAAAGCACATGGAGAAGACGACCAGTCCCAGGGCATTGACCCCATTCACAGACCCTGGAACTGGGACCAACTCCTCTGTGATCCTTGAAAGAGTCTCCATGGCCTCTGACACATTGTTTATCACAGCACCCACCAGTGTTTCATTGGACTGGATGGGGACTTTAACGCTTCTCTTCTCATAGTTGGTTTTAAACTTAAAAAAGAAAAGGTACAACAGAAATTAAAGGTGATCTTTTTTTCTTCTTTGTACTTTTCTGTCATCCAAATTTTCAATAATGATATATATTACTTTGCATTCAAAGAATAGTATTGTAGAAAGTATCTATTTATTACCTATCATCTATCATCTATCTAATCTATGACAAGCACCTACTATTTCCTTAGCATGTGCACGCGCGTGCGCGCACACACACACACACACACACACTCAAGTACATAATCAATCATAACAGGAAAGTGATATCTGGTTGAAAATATTGGACTAAACATATACGTGTGCTTTTACTTTCTTCTGAAACCATAATAAAATGATTAAAACAGGCTTTTAAAAAACTATGAATCCAAATATTCATAATAGTCCCTTTACTCTCTATGGGATCATGCTATGGGATTATGGACAAATCACATAACATCCTCTTGCTCATATTCCACAGCTATGAAACAGGGATAACTGTGCTAGTTCTACTTCACAGTGTTGTTGTAATGATCAGATAAAACAGAATATACGAGAACATCTTATAAATTTTAAAGTATTATAAATACTTTAATGTTGGCTAGTGGTGCTCAATAACAAAGCCTTTCAGGGACTAGACTTAGTTGGAGACTTCAGGGAATATTAAAAAATTTAAATCTCGAAACAACAGTCTTCAAGGCATTC